TTGAGATGAGACAGCAGGTTCTGAGGATAAAGGGGAAAGGCAACACTTTCTGTATCATACATTGTTTCCCTATAATGTGCTCATCCAAACCCTCAACAGGCAGAAATGCAGTTGTTGTTGTTGTTGTTGTCGGGGAACTAAACCTCCCTCGGGAAGTGGAAAAGCGTATAAAAGCACTGTCAGAGACAGAGAACAATGGAGTTCTTTTTAAAGAGTAGAAAGAGCTCTTTAAAACGGCATGATCTCCGCCTGTAAATACACGGTACGCTGCCACACCGATAAAAGAACGCCAGCGACGTCCCACAGTCTGTCGCGAGCGAAACGTGGTGGTGCTTCAATGTCGACGTAGAGGAAGAGAAAGTCAATGGCTCCCTCCCGCCGGATCCCCCATTAATCCCGGGGCCTGTCTTTAAAATCAAAGAAGAAGAAGAAGAAGAAGAAGAAGAAGAAGAAGAAGAAGAAGAAGAAGAAGAAGAAGAAGAGGTCGGCTGTAACCGAGCGTTGGACCAGGAACCACGTCACGCATCGATTCCCCTCCCGTTCAATAAGTTACCCTGACAGAAAACCCCGTGGGTTTACTCAAACAGAGGCAGGGAGGGGCGGCGCGGGACCCCCACCTCCCCCGCTTTGATGGCTCTATTTACTTAACCCCCGGCACCACCCTCATCCATAAGCGTCATGAGCTCCACGCACCAAAACCCCAAATAATGCAGCTCCGGACAAAACACAGGCTGCGTTGCTGCTCGGCTACAGCTGCATAATCAGCGGTCAGCAGGCAACTACCCCCCCCCAACAAAAACAACACACCATTTACAGAAGGAGAAGATGCGTTTCGGCGTTAGTCCCACATCTGTCATCGCTCAGCGCGCTCCACACGCCTCCGCCGCCGCCGCTCTCCCTCCAGACGAGCCAGCGGAGCAGACAGAGTCTGTCATAACACTCGACTTTGTGGTTTAACAGACTGAGGCAACACTGGAAGGTGGTAAATGAGATTGCTTTCTTTGTTTGTCTTTCTGTCTTTGCGAATAAATCCAACAAAAAAAAAAAAAAAAACCCCAGCGAGAGCGCGCACAGCGCCAAATGAGAAATGGAGCTGCCCGGCGGTGGCTGCGTGTAACCTCCTTGACTTCTAACTCCGTCGGGCGCGCGCGCCATGCGTCCCGGAGGCCGAAAAAAGGGTTTTCAGGGTGTGTGCCGTCGTGACAGTTGAGAGGAAGCGAGGGGGGGGGCGGCCATATTGGGCCCCCGTCAGTCACGGGAGGAGGGAGGAAGAAAGCGCCGTTGTCAAACCACTTGTCAGGCTTTGATGTAACAAAGGGCTGAAGAGCTCAATTAAAAGGCCATTATTGTGTAAGTAAATCAACGCCCTCCGACCGCCGTTGTCCCGTCAAACAAATGGTTCCCCCGCCCCGGCTGCACCGGCCTCATTTATTCCCTGCACGACGGTTGACTGCGGAGATCAAGATAGAGGACGCGGCCGCGCCACTCGGCTGCGGCGTCCCGGGAGTCGGAGCCGATGAGGAATCGGTTCAAGTGAAAGCAGCACTTAGTCTTATTTACGGCGTGTGTGTGTGTGTTTTTTTTTTTCTTCCCCCGGCTAATTCTGAAGATCACGGCGTGGCACGCCGGGTTTTCTAATGCGCAGAAAGTCATGAATTACTCTGCTGATCACCCGACGTGCCTCTCTCCTCGTTTGCCGGTGACAAAGTGCTCTGTTTAGGAAGTCAGATTGAAATGTCGGGGGTTCTAATTTATCGCCCCGGGATGAATACATGAATGTGAAGCACCGCCATATTTCACACATGCCCCCCCCCCCCCTCGCCCTCGCCCTCGTACTGAATATTATTACCGCTGCCCCAGAAAGTTGCTCGGGGAACCGTTTTTCACCTGAACAAGCATTACGGTGTCATGTTGGACATTAGTCACCGCGCCGAGCGGCCTGACGCGCCGTGAAATATTCCCCGAGCCGACCTCTGATTTCTGCTGAAGTGTAGAGTTTCCCCTTCAGCCCCAAATGCACGGCAAACTTTAGAGGGTGAGTTAATGTCGTGCTTTTTTTCCCCACAGAATCATAAATAGAGATTTAGTCTCGATACCTCTGAGGCGTGGATTACTTTTTTTCCCCACTGTTCACTTCCTGCGGTTTCACTCCCACCTGCTCTCGTAACTCAGACCCCGAATGGGACACTGATAGAAACATCTGCTGGAAAGATCACATTTTAATGTAGTATTCTGTTGGTAAATAACATAAATATACTTTATATCAACACTAATATAGTTGATTTAGCTTGTTTAAGTCTAAATATGGATAGAAATAGTTATAGAAAGTTATAGCCAAAGCGTTTGTAGGCCTACATCATATCATGTGAATTAGCTAACTAGCTCCAGCTAAACAAATTGAAACCCCTCAAGAACGTTTGAGCAGGAAAATAACAAATAAATAAAGTATGAAGCGTGAGACATGTGCCAAAAACTTATGTTAGTGTTAAAGCATGAGAAGTTATTTAGTAGCAACGAGTTTTCTCTTCCCCTGCAAAGGACGTAGCCTCTTTAGCACTTAGCGTGTGCATAGCCATGCTAACTAGCTCCAGCTAAATAAACTAAAACCCTTCAAGAACATTTCAACAGGAGAAATAACAAAGGCTGTCAAGTGGAAACGAGGAGACTGACACATACAATGTTGAGGTGTTATTTCGTGGGTGAAGGAGGGAGATTTTCTCCTTCCTGTCGCTGTAAATCACTCGCAGCGCGCGGCGGCGGCGGCGGCGGCCACAGCCAGCGTCAGTTTTCAGCGCCTCGTGGGCGACGTCGGGCGAGAGGTTACCGCAGATTGTCACGAGGATAACAGAACTAAAAGCACTTTCCTCCGCTGTCAGCGGTGATGAATGGCTTTTCAGAACCAGGCCGAGCGTTCATCATAATATCACCTGTGAGGCAACACACCGCCGCTGATGCCGTAACTCTCCTTCTGCACCAGAAAGAAAAGAGAAGCACGGCATTGTATATTTCACCCACGCGGCGCGTTTACAAGCGCTCCCCCCCCCGTTGAATAAACTCGGTGATTGGTATTTCAAAGCAGCTCGTCGGGCCGAGATGTGAGCGCTGCCAGCTGCCTCCAGCCGCCTCAGCAGACGGCGGGAGGCCTTTCGCAGCGAGAGAGTGAGACAGAGAGAGTTATGGCCTCGGCAGAGTCGAGTGCCTGTTAAAAAAAGAAAGCTCTCTGGTGACTGTAAATTTATAGTGTTTGTGCTCAAAAAACCGTCGCCTGGACGGGGTCGTCCGTTCCACGGCCTTCGGCCTCGTTGCAGGAGAGCCGTGGGGAAAAAAAACTACGACATCTTCTCGGGTAAAAAGGTATTTTTCCGCGTTAACGTGGACTCGTGAGATTCATCGTCACGTCAAGGACGTCGTCACCGAGGCTGCGAGTGGATTTCTGGCCTCACGTCCGCGGCTTTTCTCGCCTTGTCACAGCCTGTTACAGTCTGTCTGGACGCTGGCACGTATTTTCGGTGAAGCTGGAGCCAGAGGGAATCGTTGTTGTGTAAATCTCGCTTGTTTTGAAGGATCACAGTAGTGGGCAACACGGCTTACAGTTTGTTACGCGCTGAACAGGATCAAACGAACAACGCGCGGGGAGAAGCGGGGATGTTTCAATGAGTCCAAACGTTATATCGCCCACGTGGTGCCTGTTGAAGTTCACATCCGCCAGGAATGGAAAAGAAAACAGTTGATGCACGATCAGCATTTATGAAATTCACGCGGTCAAGTTGATATTACGAGACAGTTAGTCAAAGGTCTGACTTTTATAGACAATTAGAGATCCGATTACATCCACAGTTTGCATTGTTTTACTGTGGCAAGGACCAAAAACATCCCACAAAGAGTCAAAAAACAAAAGAGCAAAAAAATAAAGTAAAATACAGAACTGCTTTTCCATTTCCTCATTTTGTTATCAAATGATACTTTTTTTTTCTTTGCTTCTAATAAGATTAATAAGATGCATATACAGTCATACATACTATAACTATGTGCTTGACACACGTTTCAATCATTTGTTTTTCTTTTTAACATTTTTTATTTTTTTTTATTATATATTGTATTACATTTTATTTTATTTTTTAGATTTATTTATTTGCATTTGTTCTTTTTTTGTTATTTAACTAACAACAAAGTTGGATTTAATCCACCCTAGAACAACGTGTAGATGCCTTCTATCATCAAATGGAGTTTTTATATTAGGCCGCCGCTGACAGCACAAACAGAGGAGTTTTATTTTGACGCTTCGTCACCCTCGGGGGGCTTTGGGGCGAGTGGGCGGGGGGGGGGGGGGGACCCTTTTTGATGTGCGACCCGCCGAAGATGGTAGATTTTATCGGCAAACGAGACAGGCTTCCAGACTAAATAAAGTGGGTGGATGATAAAAATGTCGAGGATTATCTTCACTTTGCGGGGCGCTGTGATGTCGTATCGAAATGGATTCGTCAGAAGGAAGGGGCGGCCATCTTTACGGCGCAGTGACGAGCGTGGGGGAGAGGGGGGGCGTGGAGGCGCAAGTTTGAATTTTAACGAAAGGTTTAGACTTACTCCAAAAAAAAAATACCAGACCGTGCGTATCCGAGCACCGTGTACATATATATACTTTATTTGTATGTTTCAGACGCTGAGTCGTTCATTTGACAATCTCATAACAAGAGTTGAGTGAGTCATTCATTTGAATTAATATATCTTAATTGTGATCAATAATAAAAATTTAACAAAGCACAACCTTTTCATCAGACACTTTGCACATGTAAATTATATTAAACGAATCTTTCATCTTGTTAACTTGTATTTCAGAAAAAGGCTTTTAGTGATAACTTTGTTTAATTTAAATAACAAACAGCTTTGATTCTTTCTCTTCTTCTGAGTCAGTTTTCTGAGATGCGACCGGTAAAGGGTGTGAATTGTGTGACTGTTGTTTTGCCACATCTGTGTGTGTGTGTGTGTGTGTGTGTGTGTGTGTTTCCTAAGAACTGTCATTATGCTGTCACCCTGCCACTTAACGCCCCCCCCTCTCATCTGTCAATCATGCAGGGAGGATTAGAGCTGTGGTTGTGCGCGTACATTTGAGACGAGGCCATTGTGAGTGCATGCGTGTGTGTGTGCGCGTGTGTGTCAGTGTGAGTCCGACCTTATCGTCTGTGCTCGGCTGCTCGTGGATTATCTCCGTCATCACCTGAGGGGAATGCAGCTCAGTCTGTCGTGTTCGCTGTTTTGATCTTTGAAGTGAGACGGGGACACAAAAACACACACTCACACACACACACACAGACACACACACACAGACAGAGCAGCATCAGCGCAGACTCCATTTTGAATCCTTTTTAGGGACAGTGTAAGGTTTAATAACAGGTGGAATTTGTTTGTCAGATCATCCACTTAAGTAAAAGTTTAAAAGAGCACGCGGAGGAAACACAAGTCAACGTCCTGCATTCAAAACTCAACTCGAGCAAATTAAAATATCAAAAGAAAACAGTAAGATGTCAGAGTTGCAGGTTCCCGTGAGAACCTCGTATCTCTGAAAAGACGCTGAGCTTTGTGGCGTTGCATTCTCAGAGTGTGAATGTGTCTCCGCCCGCCGCCAAACGGGCCTCGAGCGAGCCCCGAACGAAAGGAGGAGGTGGAGTAATGAAAATAAACCTGAGAGCAGAAACCTGTTGACACACACACACACACACACACACACACAGCGAGCAGAGGTACGGCTCAAAACTGGAAAGCACATTTTTGAATAACACCTTTGATGTGGCGAGAGGAAGAAGAGTCACGGCGATCTCTCGCGGGGGGGCGCAGGCCTGGGTGCTGTTTACACTCATCAGAGACATCTGGAGAACACGTCCCTCTGCACTCTTTGTACTTTTGTGAGTGTGTGTGTGTGTGTGTGTGTGTGTTTTTTTAAAGAAACATTGTACGTCTGGCTGGAGATCACCGGCAGGCCTAAAGGCAAATATTTACCCCCAAATCTCTCGTTTCTTTCAGCTGTGTGTTGAAGAAGACGTGAGGACGGAATAGACGATTTAGATAACGAGAGGACGGGTGTGGAGGGAAGAGCTCACAGCTTTTTAAAGATGATGTTGAACTTGATCTATTTAAATTCCCCAACTTTGGAAATTTTCTTTAACTCTCTCTTTCTTTTAAGGGGATGTGTGACCTTCCCCCCCCCTGGAGGCCCTCCCGGGCCAATATCCCTCTCTTTTAACCCCCTTTTTGGTTCCCCCCCACTTTAAAAAGGGAAAATTTTTGTTTTTTTAGCGGGGGGGTTTTCCCCCAATCTTCCCCCCAGGGCCCCCGGCTTTTTTTTGCCCCCCGCCCCCCCAAACCGGGGGGCGGGAAGGGGGACCCAAAAAAAAATCCCCCCCCCCCCCCCCCCCCCCTGCTGTCCAGGCAGCACTTCAGTAAACAAAGCCCAGGCAGCAAACTGCTTTTGCGTGGATGCGTCCCGCTGGCAGGACCCGAGCCGGCTGTTTGTGGAGGAGCTCGTCAGCTGTTACCGCTGGGATGTCGCGGCATGTGAAAACAGCGGGAAGAATCGGCCTTTGAAGCACCCCCGACCCCCCCCGCCCCCCCGACAGGCCCGGTTCTCCCTCTGTTTCTTTGATGGAGTTCTGTGTGTTGTCCGTCGACGGGACGGGACGGGACGGGTCGACGCCCACGCAGGCGAACGCACATCTCACCGCACACCTGCTCAGCAGCTCCCGGGACGTTTACTTCATGCTTCTTTACACGTTCACTCTGCTAGTTTCACTGCAGATTAAGATAATGAAACTAATTATTATTATTGCATATAAACCGCATGTTTACCGGATGAAGACGATTACATCACCGATTACGATCCAATAAAACACATCACTTCACTAGATCTGGGTGCCATATGTGCAGATAGAAGTCACACTTCATTGAGTTTAAATGCTTAATCGAAGCGCGAATCACCGCGTCAGCATCTGGACAATCACACGGTAGAACTAAATTCACATTACAAAGCCATCTACCAGGAAAAGGGACTTAATGCATGTTTGATCGTCCACTTGGCGCAGTGCTATTGCCCCGTTTAAATACCCATACTTGCCCCAGCTTGATTGCCTAGCTGGCAGCGACGCGCCGTGGGTGGTGTTTATAACTCACCTCATCTCAAGCGACAGCCTTTACAGGCCCTTCCATCGATTCCTCGGCTGCTTCCACGAGGCCTTGGCAGCAGAGTTGAGTAATAAACCGAGCCTTGTAGGTCTCACCAGGCCAGAGGACAACGCAGTCTCTCCTGGTCCCGGGTCGACCCCAGGGTCTCCTACAAGTTGGGCCTTTCACAATAAAAGCAGAGGGAAACGATGGAAGATGTTTTATCCGACTTTTCCACCACGGCGCTGCAGCACTCGAGTCAAACAAAGGGGAGCTCACCCTCCAGCGTGCCGTTGCAGGTATAATGGCAGCCGGTCAGCCTTGTAATCATATACCGATCAAACAAAAACACGGCTAAGCTGTAATACAGTGAAGCACGGCGGCCCTTAGAAAACCCGAATCCGTGTGATGAATGAGACGTGACGGCAGCAGCTATTAGACAAAGTGCAGCGCGGAACAATAACAGCCCTCACGTGACATTAAGTGCTACAGACAAGGATTTGATTGCTGTCTGAGCTGACCGACTTCCCCCTCGTGAAGCCTCCATTATCTGCTCACGAGATGTTGAATTTATGGACACTTTCGATGCCAAGTGCAAAGAAAATTGTTCAGGAAGGAAAATCATGTCATAAAAAAGTGCAGTAAAAGACGGCTGAAAATGCCCTCGGTGGGGCGGTACAAGAGGGTCAACGCTGTCCTGTCCGCGGCACTCTCGCTTTTAATTTGACGCGTAAAAGCTGGTGCCAAGAGCTCGGGTCAAACGCGGAGCAGCTGCACTTCCTGCCACATGTTCTCAGCTTTTTGTAGAAGTCCATTGCTTCCAGCTCCTCTCATAAAAAAGCATTTAACGGGGCTTTGAAGGGAGAAACGCCGAGGGTGTTTATGAACTCGTCTCCCGGTTACGCCGTGAGACGTCACAAGCTACCCAGAAGCGTGAAATGTGATCGCAATCGGCGCCGCTAGCCGCGGCGATAAAGTCATCAATACACGAGTTCAGCTGCAAGGATCCAGCAACATAGTCCGCGGAGCCAATGACTTTCACTATAAGTGGATGCAGGACACTACTTGTATTCAATTTTTTGTTTTTCTCAAATATAAATGAGCTTCGGACGTGATTGCAGGTCAACTTTATGCTAAGCTAAGCTAACCATGTCCATTGTGCAGACTCCAGAGTGGCAACAATCCCCACCGCGAACTTCCCGCGAGAAAAAGAGAATAAACTTGTTTCCCGCGAAAATGTAAAATCATCAATCTCTTTAATTAAAAATCTAATCTCCAACAGGCGTCGGCTGCTCGTTTTGGCAAAGCAGTGGACGCAACGACGGCGCCCGGGGGAAACGCGGCCATGTGTTCCCCTTCACGACTGTTTGTACAGTCATTAATCACGCTCATCTGGATTTACGTGCAAACTCAATTTGACTGAGTAAAGAAAGGTTTTCTGTGCTCATAACGCACGAAAGTACACACGTGTACTGTGTGTGTGAGCCAGTCGTACATGTGCTAAACTCAAGGAAATCACGCGTGTTTTCGGCCCTTTGGGATGTGAACTTTTCCCCCGGATGGGAACTCAAAGCGGGGCTCACGTTCCGCATCGAGGGAAGCGCGTTTCCCCCCGAGATCCTCCGAGGACACAAATCAAGAACGAGTAAAACTGAGACGATGGTCAGCAGAGCGCTTTTGAAATGACTTTGAGTACCACGGCTGGAAAATGACCAGAACTTCTCATCAACGTCGGTCCTCAGCTGCAGAAATCTCATGAAAATCAACCAAACCAGAGACAATCTAAGATCTAGTTCCCATTTTATGCCACTTTAGTATTCTGCTCCACTGTCGACTGCTCTGTTCTTTAGACTTTATCTTGTTATTTCCATCAAGGTCAATGAGTTTGTACCACAACTTAATTGATCCCTCGACGGGACCAACTGGCTCCGCGACACTGATCAGTGCTGTTTAGAGAACTAAAAGATATGCCCTGCGGTTGGAATTTAGCCCTTCTGATTAAAATATCTGAATCCTTGTTCCACCGTCTGCACTTAACTACGACCTTGAAGTCTTGCGTTCTACTTTTTTATTCGCCGGCACGTTGAACCTTGTTGACCTTTGTGGGGGATTAAGCATGAACGCTGTTCACTTTCCCCCGGCGTCGGCGGCGTCGCTTCTCGGCGAGTCCTCCCGCTCTGCTGAAGGAGGGAGACGAGGGCAGAGAGCCGTCTAAATCATTAGGACAGCGCCGTCCCGGGGAAACCCTTGAAGCACGAGCTCCAGCTCCACACCTGACAGCGAGAGAGACAGACGATTTACCCCAGATTACCGAACAACGGGCACATTGTTCCCTCATCTTTCTCTCGCCCCGTTTATCCCCCTCAGCGGATCATTGATGCCATTCATGCCCCTGAAACGATACGCCGTTGTGATTTTCTTCCTTCTTCTTCTTCTTTTGTTTCTCCCCTCTCTCCCCCCGGAGCGCTCCCGGGGCGCTGGAGGCTCTGCTCTTTAAGATTTTTTTGCTTTCCGCACAGATTAAGTGTGACGGATTGGGCAAAAAAGAGCACATGACAGGAGTTCAGATGGCAGACAAGAATAAGATCAGACATGTGATGCGATATTAAGAGGTCACAAGAGCTGAAACACACACTCACACACACACACACACACACAGCAGGCTGATCTTAACCATATGATCCATGCAAAAAGTACATTTACTCCAGTACTACGATCTAAAGTACTTGTGCCGGAGTATTTCTCAGCAAGCACGTTGTACTTTTTTCCACTCATGCGTCTGCGTGACTCCTCAGATGAAAGTCTTCCATCAGTCCAGATAAAAACACGCTGCTCCAGATGTTGATGTTGAGAGATAAACCGAGTGATGAAGTGTTCACTTTTCCAGCCAAACAAAGCGCCTCAAAAAAGCCTCTTCAGCTGGAAAACGCGTGGTCACAAAGCTGAAAGCAGGCCGTGCTTCTCCCTGGGTGACCTGTGATGACCCCCACATGAACAACAACAACGGGAGCATCTCACTGAAGAATTGGTACTTTTACAGGTTTAAGATGCAGTGCTTTTTACTGTTGCTGGAGTACTTTGACGAGGTGGTATCAGTACCTTTACCTCAGTAACGGATCTGAATACCTTCTCCTCTGCTGACCGTCACCAAAGAGCTGCAACGCGAGCGCTCGTCCAGATTTTATCTCCACTTTATCGCAACGAAAAAGGGAGCAAAAAAGTGCACGGCGCGTCAGCGGAAAGGGGGGGGGGCTAACATTTAAAGTGACGGTTTGACATTTCGCCATAACCGCCATGATTTGATTAGACTTGGGTGACATTCTCTCACACAACTCAGGAGGGAGGACGGCATCTGCTACTGCCAAACGCATTAACTCCTGTGAACTCGGAGGCAGGAAGAGTGAAGTATTGTTTGAGTCGACTCTCTTTCCATTCGGTCAAACAACAGGCATTTTAATGCTTTCAAGACCCTGGTGACAGCTCAGCCGGGAAGATTTATAACGCTTAGGAATCGCGAACACATGTAAGTGAGGCGGGTTAGATATTAATACCGAGAGCAGATAGATGGGCAACGACAACCTTCCATAATACATATGCGGGGGATTTTTGCCCGTTATCAGCGCATGATGAAATGCGCTAATAATCTATCTTAATGTCTTTAAATAGACGGAAGAGGGGAGAAAACAATGGAAGAACAAGAGGAAATGCTTGGAGTTTAAATCCAGAGACGTTGCCTTCGAATTGGCTGGATTTAATGTTATAAATGTATGATTTAAAGCAACCTTTAATAGTGAATGTGCGGGGGGTTTTCTGCACGCTGGGCTTTAGTTCGCTGCATTCACGGTGGTGATGATTACAATTAAAACACAGTACTTAGCGCATGATGAAACGATGCTTTGACACAACGGCTTTAAATAGACGAACAATGAAAGAAGAGCGAATCCTGTTTTCCTCCAACGGAGCCGCTCGTTTGATTCTCGGGGTGTTGTTTTGAATTAGCGAGAATAAGAAATAGAGTGTAATTCAAAGAACTTTAAATAGTTCATTTTCTATCTGGCTGTCTTTAATTAAGAAAACAAGTCAGATAGGAAGGAGTTTCACAGCAAAAAGCCCGGTGAGGAGAAATGGAGCCGGCAGCAAAGTCCGGCAGGAAATTCAATAAAAACTCTTCAAAAGGACCCTGACGCTGAAAAACGGCACAATTACAACATACAGCAGGGTAACGAAAGGCAGGAGTTATTGTGTTTGGCTCGGAATCGAGAGAAGAGCGAAGCCCAGGGCCGCCACGTGAAATGAGCCGTCGCTGACAAAGAGGGGGGCGAGGGGGGGTTAAGCCTTGTGTTGATTAAATAAAGGCCTCAAACCGGCAGACATGTTTGTGCACGGGCAGCAGAAAACAAAGAGAGAGAGAGAGGTTGTCGTATTGGGAGGAGAAGTGCATCAGCAGGGTCGCTGCTCGCAGATCAGAGTCAAGACGTCACGGAGGAATTCAGCCCGCGGGCGAAGAAATTAAAGCGATTTCTCAAGGCGGACGAGGAGAAGAAGTCCTTTCATTTCAGCGCTTTGACTTCCGGGGATGCGGTTTCATCAGACTCCAGACGCACAGCTGGTTTATTCTGTGAATCATGTCTTCTTCTTTGTTTACGTGTCTTTATGTCATAATACAATATAAATATCTCACCCTGTTCAGTCTACAAATATGTGCATTACTCTCTTATGTTTTGATGGTCATGTATTTTGTTCTCTACTAAAGGCCGGCGTCTGTGTCTAAAAGTCTTTTTAGTGTGTGTTGCAGAGCGATTCACCTCCAGAACAACAGGCGGAGTGACGTGTTTTTGTTGAAGACGACCGAGAGAGTCACGTCTATTTATTTATTTGTTTATTTATTTATCATAGACTTTATTGCCCCGTGCGTCGCCACTGCTGCTTTTCATCGCGGACACATTTCCTCCACAACTTTGTGCACCTCTCGACCGGCAAACCGGCGTTTCCAACCCGCTTCTACAACCCGCCAACGACGGCTTGTATAAGCGCTCATATTTGCGCATTTCCTCCGACATAAATTCTTAAATCTGCTCCGTTCTCTCGTAAACGTCCTTCGTTTTAATAATGGCGGCATCGGGCTGTGAAAGCGGAAATGTGAGACTCCGTAAAGGACGTAGTTAGCGGACCAATCGCAGCCTGGTGCGCTGCGGGAGGACACACGCAAGGACGCAAGGAGGTGTGAAAAGCGACGCAAGGGACACGCAAGGGGGGCTCTGAAAACGCAGAAGCATGAACCAGGCTTAAGTTGAATCTAAACTGATGACGATCCACTGGTTCTGATTACTACAATACCCATGAGCCTCTGCTGCCGTTGCCTGGAGAAAAGGGTAGAATTTTACCCTCTGAGAGGGGCCTTTCTTGCCGTGATGCATCTTGGGAGCCGTAGTTCGCAAAGCCACCAGGAGCAGAAATCGTGACTCTTTCCGCCGTCCCCGTTCAGAAGGACGGAGCCCTGAAGGCTCCACGTAACATTCAGCAGTGAACTCAAGTCAGCTTCATCAACATTCCGTTCCTGTGGAAAAATACAGACGGGGTATTTCCCTGCGCCGCCCGGAAACCCCCTTCAGGGGATCGACAAACTTTCCCTCGCATTCGGTCCGGACCGTCAGAGGCGGAGACGAGGTCGGGGCCTGAATCTCTCGTGGCTCCAAGTGACGCATCTTGGTCCACTGGAAACCGAACCAGCGGGGGGGGGGGGGAAACGCCACGAGTTAATTGCCCCGCTGATTGTGAGTCGAGGAGCCTTTGCGCGTATTTATGATCTATTCTTCCCGTGGTTCAGGGAGCGCCTCCTCCCGTCTCTTGAGGTGTGACGGAGGCCTCGGCTCAGCGGCTCAAGTTGAGAGACAGGCTTTAAATGGCCCCCGTCGCCCCCGGGGCGCGTTCATGTGAGGATTCCGTTCAGGGCGTGACAATGAGGATCATCTGGCTCAAATCGGTCCAAACAGTCACGGTTCAGTTCCCCCGAGACGGGGAGACGAGTCGGCCCGGACGGACGCTGGCGGCGTCCCGGGCGGCCTTATCCGTCTTTACATTATAATCTCTTATAAAGAAAACGGCTTAAAGCGTCTCGCTGACAGGAAGACGCTCCTCCTCTTTTTCCTATCCTACCCTAAAAAAACAGGTTATCAAACCGGAGAATTCCCGGACAGGGATCGCTGGGAGAGACGAGGGGAAATAGATTTGAGGAGCTTTTGATGAGATGAAAGAAGCTTTCCCAGCACAAAGGGCTCCTCGGCTCCTGAGCTCCTCAGCTCGCCGCCGCCGCGCTCCGAGCGTGTGAACCCAAACTGGTGGATCCCGTCTCTTCCCGTCGCTTTCTTCTCCAATCATCTGACTGGACGTACACCAGCTCCAGGTACCCCCCGCCGGCCCGTTGACGCCGACACGACACGCAATGATCAAAGGGGAAAGACAGCGAGACGTCATCTTTAATGTCAAACATTGTATTTTCGACCCTCCTCCTCCTCCTCCTCGGCGCCGCTCGGAGCGACACGCTGTCAGGTGGAGCTTACAGACCCTGACACCGTATCCACTGACCCCCCGTCACTCCTCGTCCGGGCCGAGCGAGAGCCAGACGAGTCGAAAGAAGAGAGGCGATTGTTTGTGACAGTCGGGGAGCCGCTTCTGTCCCATGTGACCCACGTGGGATGACGCGACGCGGCCTTCCTGCGTCCCCGATGGCGTTTCTTCCTGTGGTACCGGCCCGCGGATCTCACAGAGGGGCTTCGGGGTGGTGACGTCGCTTTTCCAGTTAGCTCGCGGCTAATCATTTGTGCGCATTGGCCGTTGTTTCTGCGTCCCGTTCTGCCGGAGCCAAAGGCCGTGGTCGTAGTTGCCGTGACGACACCCAATGGTTTGCGGACTCACCTGCAACGTTTACATTGTTTGCAGGGTCTTTTCTTTTGTAATTTTCTCATAGAAATCAATGCAACCAGAGGACTCGGCCCCCCGGTGGGCTTTAGGGAGAATGCAGCTGATACAACGCCAACACAACGCCAACACAACGCAAACACAACACACACCAACGCATCGTGCAGAGTGACATTTTCGTGACCCCACCCTCCCCAACCCTGTAGCCACGGTCGTTGTGCCGAAATTAAAGCATTTCATGAAGACAGCATGTCGTGTTTTTGCCTTTGTGGGTTTCATTACAGTTTTGATCAGGTTCAGGGAAAATTTGATTTCATTAAAATTATTACATTTGTGTTATTGCATTTCTGGGGAATCGCTTCAAGCCTTGAAGTTGTTTGGGATCAAAGCTCGTCCGCATTCCTTCCAAAAAACGAACCACTCCGAAGTTTGTTTTGTGGCCGAGACCCCCTCTGCGTTTTAAAGGGTCTCGGTTCCTCACATTAAGAATCGCGGTCACAGCTGTTCGAAAAAACTAAGCGAACCCGATTCAACCGAGCCGAAGAACGCAGGCTTGAAAACGCCCTTCAACCCGTCCGGTTTTACCTCCACAGGTAAGACACCAAAGCCGCGTGAACACGCTCTTTGATAATAACAATGTTATTTACACGTTACATGTTCAAAGCTCAAATTGAAAAATTCAGTTGGCCCGTCTTCTTTATCAACGAGGCTTTCTTGGCATCGAAATCAAACAAAAGCATTGATCCGAATCCATCGTGCGGCTCCGCTTCAATCAGCTCGCGCCTCTCACGCGCACACGCCGATGGGCGACGCCTCGCAACAGCTGCGCGTCGGCCGTAAATCACCCGCCGGCCCGCAGGATCCTCGACAAAAGCAGCAGTTAACGCCGTTTACCGCGCGGCTTGGAGCCGGTCAAAGGTGGCACCGAATCCACGAGACCTCACAGCCAGTCGGCAGGTGCTGCGAGGCCTTTGTCCTTCACCTCCGCGATGCATTCAAAGTGTCACTTAAATGCGCCGCGCGTGGTTGTGGGCGGTCAATCTAATATGTTTGATCTACTAGTCCAAAGAAAACAAACTGCAGGAGAAAGAACAGCCGCCAAAAGGTCTTTTCTATTAAACCAAACTCCTCGTGCCATATTTAGTTTTTTGTTCTCCGAACGGCCATTTGAGCAGAAAGGACGAGGTTTAATTGTCCCTCTCTCCCCTCGTGGGGGAGGGCGGG